CCTTCCTTCCTTCCTTCCTTCCTTCCTTCCTTCCTTCCTTCCTTCCTTATTAAATATTAATAATCAACAACAAGTAAGTTTACTGTGCTTCATTACAGAGTCTAGGTGAGGGGTTACTGAGATAAGTGGACACTCCTCCAACTGGCCACACCTGAAGAGCCTTACCCAGGAGGGATGAGGATGTCTCTCCCCATTACTAACCACAGATGGAGACCCTGAAGTCTTCCTTGGCCTTTTATACTGTAGCCTTTGCCCCAGGCTGTGTGTAGAGTAGCCAGGTGGTAGGGAATAGCTGGAGAGAACCTCATGTCCTGTTCCTCAATTCTATTCAGTGGGTGTAACCCATCAGTCAAGCAGCCAAGTGGGATGATCTTTCACAAGGGGGGGGGGCTACAGCTGAACTCCCCAGATGGCAGCTGCTTGGCTCTGAGGGCAATCACAATAACACCTGAGAGAGGGTTAATTGTCAAAATATATAAACTCAAGAAACAAAGATTAAACAACCCAGTTAAAATGGGCTATAAATCCGAGCAGAGAGTTTTCAAAAGAAGAAATAAAACGGTTAAGAAATATCTCAAAAAATGTTTATCATCCTTAGCAGTTAAAGAAATGGGAATTAAAACAACTTCAAGATTTGATTTTTAGTCCAGACTGAATGGCTAAGAGGAAGAAAAGAGCTGACAATAAAAGCTGGTGAGGATGTGGGGTTCCCCACTCACTGTTGGTGGAACTGCAAATTGGTGCAGCCACTGTGCAAACCACAGAGAATTCTTGAGAAGCTAAAAATGATTGTATCGGATGACCCAGCTAATCGCACTCGTTGGCATGTATGTGCCTGAAGGACCCAACGGCCGACTGCACATGTTTCACTGCTGCTCTAACCACAAAAGCTAGGAAACAGCTGAGATGTTCCCAACTGATGGAGGGATAATGAAAACTCGGTACGTATACACTATGGAATGCTATTCAGCCGTAAAGAAAAACGAATTCATGAACTTTGTAGGTAAATGAAAGGAACTAGAAAATACTACAGTGAATGAGAGGACCCAGAAAGGCACCTGTTTTTTTCTCATCTGTGGTTCTTGGCTCCAAATCTTCAGGTATGAGTATTTAACCTAGTGTAACCTTAAACACCAGAAAAGTAAAAAAGGGACCGTAGGAGGCCGGTGTGAGGAGGACCCCAGAGAAAATAGCAGGCTGTGGGTGGTATGAAAGGAGAAGTGGGAGATGGTAGGGGTTTACGTGGGGAAGGACAGAAAAGGAGAGGAGGAATAAGGAACACCAAGGATGCTTTAAAATGCCACAGGGAATCACATTATCTTATATACACCAACATTTACATATAATAAAGTCTATGTGTTTGTGTGCGTATGTATTTGGATGAAGTTTAGTAAATTAAATTTTAAAAGTTATTTTATGTACACCTAAAATTATACATAACAAATATACGTGTTTGTGTTTGTATGTCTGTGTGTGTGTGTATGTGCGAAGTAATGAAGTTAACAGTTATATCACTTGTAACAATGTCTCCCCCAAGAGTTGTAAACTTATAAAAAACCCAGAGCCAGGCATGAAAAATCTTTTAAGTTACAGAAAGTTCAAAATACTCCCAAAATAATATAGGCTGTTATTGTCGCCCTTGGTTGCCTCCAAGAAGTCTTTATTGTGACACTATTTAAAATTTTTTTTTGTGCACCATGTATGTGGGCCCTGCTGAGGCCAGAAGCCATGACATGTCCTGGAACTGGTGTCTCAGGAGGTTGTGAGTCGCCTGATGATGTAGCTCTGGGAACTGAACTCATTCCCTCTGAGCCATCTCTCCAGCAGCAACACTGAATTGAAAACCTTCAGAATTCTACTTATTTGATTTAGATCCCAAGAAATTCCCGGTAAGCGTGTTGTTGTAAATAGGTTCTGGTGTGAGTCAACTCAGAATCTGAAAAATATTCTTGAACGTTGCCTTTGAGGAGATACACAGTGTAAACAAAGAAATGCTTTTTCTTACTTCCTGTGTAGGGACTAAAGAACTCGTGTGTGTGTGTGTGTGTGTGTGTGTGTGTGTGTGTGTGTGTGTGTG